GTAAGAAGAGAGTTTGGACGTTCAGTGTCCCCATCTACTCTGTCCCGCTGCACAGAACGGCTCCGTGGGCTGATATTCTGTTCTCTTAAGCATGTCGCAAAGTGGCTAAGCATCCGGACTCTGGGTGTGAATCCCAGTTGTGCGGCTCTTCTGCTGTGTGGGCTGGGGGCAGTTGCCTGACTTCCCTGTGCCTCCCATTTCTTACCTGTAAAATGGAAATCGTTATGGAATTTACCTCAATGTACTTGTAAAGATCAAGTGCATTAGTTTTTGTTACATGCTCGTAACAGAGTCTAACATGCTGTAAAAACTGTGTGAGTGATGGCTATCATGAAATTCTGTAGGGGAACAGGGTCCTTTGAAAATTCACCGAGTCTCCCACTGCCATCGGGCACGGCCGCATTTAGCCACGAGGCAAAAGAGGTTGTCCTAGGTTGATTTTAAACTCAATCCTCCTAGGAGGAGTTTACTCCTGAGAAAGAGACTGCACTCTCCTGTGGGCCACCATTCTGTAGTCAAGACTCTTCCTAAAAGGAATTCTCACTAGAGCAGCCTGAATCTCCTCGTGCAATAGTTTAGACACTCAGCGAAGGACTGTCACCACCTTCTGTAGCAGACTGTCCTTGTGCTACCCGCCTTCTGAGCCTTGTCCAAGCAAAATGGCCCCAGTAGTTTCTGCATATCCATTGCGGTCAAGCCCTCCCCAGAAGATGAGAAGTCTAACGGGAAAAACATACTCAAGTGACTTATTCCACGGTCCCTGTCACCTCCCTCCTCTGCCCTGTCTCCAGGCTCCTCCACCGCCTGGTTGGAGACTGGGACCTGCATAGCCTGGGCTTGGCCTGGATTCATGGCCTCTTTCAGTTTATTGTTGTCCTTGTGGCCACTGAGGCCTGGCCCTGAAGACATAGGCTTAAAAGCTGAAGAGAGCTGTCTCTGGGTGGGACAACCTAGACTAGACTCCAGCAGTGGGCTTTTGTTCTGGGGACTCCTTAACTGTCCCCCCACCACGAGGCAGATGTCTGGAAACCCCAAACTTCCTACCCAAGAGTGAGAGAGATGGATAGTCACAGCTTGAACCCCACTAGGACCCTTGTCCCCAGCCACTCCCAGGGCCATCTCTCCATCAGCCACGTGCTGTCCCCTGCCACACAGCTAGGGGACTGGGGCTCAAACTAGCGCCCGCTTAGACAAGCTGGCAGGGCTTAGGCAAGAGGAGCTCCAAAGCCCTTACCGCTCCAGCAGTTTTTACAAGCCTGTGATTCTCCGTGGGGTACACTGAGCTGATTGCTTCTCCCTGTGGTTCAGAGAGGAAGACAGGCTCAGAGGGACACCTCGCCTGCAGGTGTGCCATTAAGCAGAGCGCAAGCCCAGGTGAGAACGGAGTCAGAAGGGACCCCCAGGATGCCTGGGTCCCGGACCTATACTCTGCCCACACTGGGGTGCTACCGGGAGGGAGAGGAGGGGACCGAGCGAGGGGAAAGGCTGCCCGCTGCTTCCCCGTTGCCCTCCTGCCTCCTGCCTCTTGCCTGCCAGCCCCTGCCCGCCTCCTTCTCCTTGACCCTCTGGCCCCCGGGCCTCCATTCTCCATCTTCTCTGGCCATGTCTTAAAGGGTTACGCAAGCTCAGGGCAGACGCCGTGGATTACGGGGTGAGTGGGGAGCCGCAGATTCCTTGGCCAACACTGCCCTTCTTTGCAGGGATTTAGACCAAATGAAGTAGGATAGCTTAGTTCAGGTTCAGCACCAACAGCATTTTCTGTTCTCGTTTGGTTTTAGCTCTGACGTTGGAGAGTTATGTGGGTTTGATGCTGGCTTCAACCGGTACGTTAAAAGATTGAGGTTGCAGACGGGAAAAATCAAACCCGTCTGATGAAGTCTCTGATTCGGTAAAAAAAGCGAATGGTGGGGACCGGTCCTAACTGAAGGCAGCAGTTCGTGACGATGACAAACATTATCTTTGGTTCCATCCCAGCTCTCATCTGGCCATGAGTGCTGTCTGGTCCTAGGGACCACAGCGGGAGGGCTGGACCTGTGGTGCTCATTCTATCTTCTGCCCTTGTGTCCACGCCTTTCTGGGATCCACAGCAGTGCCCCGGCTGGGGACTGGTGGCTGCCCCGGCTGGCAGGGAGTCCACCAGCCTCCTCGGCAACTCTGGGCCAAGCCTGAGGGAGGGGCTGGTCCTGCAGCTCCAAGCGCTGAGCCAGTGCCTTAGGGAGACTTCGGTCTCCCTGGAGAGGAGCGGCTGTCACAGGCAGGGCGGGAAAGACACTGGGACATGTTCCCTTCCGAGACGGGTTATGGCTCCAACTCAGACAAGAAGCAGAGCCCGAACCTCTCATTTTATGGAAGCAGAAAAGTGAGGCCAAACCAAGCAGAAGTCATGGCAATCACATCTTCTCTCTGCCACCTGCAGTGGCCCAAGATCTTTTGTGACTAAAGGCCGAAACATTTCTGGAAGGGTCTCACAGAAATTTGCATCTGTCCCCCTAAAAAGAGAATTGGGCTTTGAATGTTAAGGGGAGGCTTTTCAAGGGTGGGGTAGTTTCCTAGACAAAGCTCTTTGTTCTTCCTTCTGCTCGAATCCTATAATCAGAATTGCCCTGCGTGGAGGGTAGTAGCCTCAGCCCAGAACATCATTGTGGACTCCTGGAGTCTCTCTCTGCCCTACGAGAGTGACCCCTGACCCCATCCCTGGGAGGAGGGGCTCTAGTGACAGAAGACAAGGCAACAGCTTTGAACAGCAGGAAGCCAACTAGCTGGATAGAGAAAGAGCTAGCGTGGTGCTCAGGGGAATGAGAAGAGGCCAGCCCACAAGGGCTGGCTAGGGCTAGGATGGCTGAGAAAGGTGACTTGGTTCCATTGAAGCTACTTCCTCAACTTCAAGCCCAGCCCCCCTGAGTTACCTGCCCCCCTGTTTCCAACCCTGGGGTCTGGGCACAAGAGCCTCAGGCAGGAATCTGCTGTGTCTGCCACTGAGAACTCCAGGACCAGTGCTGCCCACCCTGCCATGGGCTCATGGTCTGCCTCCCACCCACCCCTGGTCCAGCCCAACCTGACAGGCACAGCCCGTGCCCTGTCTCAGGCCCTCAAGTATGCAAATTCTCAGGAGGGTAGAGAAATAGGAACGGAAGTCCTGGTCCCACTCCCCCAATTCTGCAATAAACAATGCTGTTGTCCCTCTCCACTCGGCCAGTAAGGACTGAAAATGCATCTGTCCATCCGTCCTTACACATGTACTGTGACGTCAGGTGCCAAGCTTGGTGATGGGGGTGAATAAGTCATGGGGCCTTGCCCTCAGGACTCTCGGTGTGGTGGGAGGAATGGGAAGAGGAGGAGATGGTCAGGAGTACAAGAGAGGATCCAAAGGACTCGAGGAAGGAGGAGCCTTCATCTAAAAATCTTGCAAATAAAATGTCTTTTAGCCTCTCACTTTGATTCGGCCCCAAAGAGTCCAGGATTTGCTATCAGTTGGTGCACAGTTCACGTTCTTGCAACACGCTTTTCTCAAGCATTCCCTTTTATCCACCCCCAGCCACGTTCCCAGCCCCGTGCTAGTCCTCAGAGGGTTATAAGATAAATGGAAAACATATCCGTGCCTTCAAAATGTTGACAGGACTTACGCACATCTGAAGCAATTAGAGAACAATGCGAGTTGGTAGTCAATACATGTTAGCTAGTACATATACAATGAGCAAATCAATTGATTATAAGCCTGGGACAAAATGTCTGGTTAAAAAAAAAAAAGGCATCAAAGTGGGAGCAAATTAATTAGCCATTATAGAGATGGGGGAAGGCTTCATGGAGGAGGTGGGGCTTGAGCAAGAGGCTGTGTAGACTGGCAGAGGACAAAGAGAACAGGCTGGAGTGTGGCGAGTGTTGGTCAACAGTCAACTATTATGCTGGAAACAAGAAACTGGGGGTGGGGCACATCCAAATCAAGGGCTCCTTGCCACCCACTTTTTGTATGACCATAGGGACCTCTTTCCTTCAGTATCAGGTCAGTGTTCAATATAGGGGTTAGCCTAGATTCGTATTTCTCAAACCATCGGGCCAATAGCGTCAGCATCACCCGGGAACTTATAACAAATGTGCGTTCTCAGGCCTCGTCCCACTGAATCAGAAATCCGGGGGGTGGGCCCAGCGGTGCACTTCACCAGGCCCTCCAGGTGATTCTGAGGACAGGCTGGTTTGAGAACTGCTGGACTCCGTTGCTGCTTCCTGACCCTGGCTGCTCATTAAATTCACCTGGGGAGCTTTTAAACCCAAAGACGATGTCTGAGCCACACCCACTGAGATTCTGATTAATAGATCTAGCCCTGGCATGCATATTTTTTAAAACTCCCCAGATGATTCTACCGTGCAGCCAAGGCTGAGAAGCACACACTGGACTAGATGGCTTCCAAGTCCTTTCTGACTCACTTTCCTGGGTCTAAGCCGGATTCCTGGCTCCCTGCATCGCACAGGGTGCATTTGCAGACAGTCAGGGCATATGTTTGGGGACAGAAAGACCTTCCTGAGATCTGAAAATCCTGACTCTGTAGATGACCAGCTTTTTGGTAGTGTGTGCAATTGTCCGCCATTGCACCTGCACCTGCCACAGGTGAGGAAGCTGTGTACAGATGCCGAACCCCCGACCCCACCGCAAAGGGGAGTACACGAGCACACACTCGCTTACACACGCGTGCATCACATGGTGCTATAAGTGTATATAGACACACGCAAGAATAACCATGTATCGATATTCAAAATCATTCCTAAAGGCATGTGACCACACAAATAAATCAGAAGTCCCAGACCCAGAGCACTCAGACTGCTTGGGAAAGGATTCCTCTTGGTAGGAACTGGGCTGTTTGAATAAGTGGCACTTCCGTGTATGGAGTGGCAACTGGGGGGTTAGCTGTTGTCTTCCGCAGGCTCCCTGCGCTGGACAGAGGCAGGCAGCCCGCAGGGGAACGCCGAATGAAGATGCTAAGGACATGCGTGATTCTCTCTTGCAGATCCGGGCCGATGGTCCTCCCCATGGTGGGGTCCAGTACGAGATGGTCTCCGTGCTCAAAGACGGGAGCCCCATCCTCCGGGACATGGCCTTCTCCATCGATCAGCGCTTCCTGTATGTCATGTCTGAAAGGCAGGTAAGTGCTGACACCCACCCCTCCTTCCCAAACTCCAGGAAACCTCCCATGCTCTGTCACCTTTGTTCAGACGCTGTGCAGTCTAACAAGAGAGACCTCTGGCCTGTAGCACAGGGGTTCTGCAAGAGAGGGAGAGTCCTTGTAGGCGTTTGCAGGGAGCCAGAAAGCAGCAGCTGGGGGCCAGCCACTTCCCGGAGGCTCCTCGCTAGGCCGCAGCCCCTGTCTCAGCGAGGTGATGAACAGCTCTGCAAGAACGGGCCAGACTGCGCGGAGCAGCTTGGTGTGATTAGGAGGTAGATTTACTGCTCTCAGGCCCACAGAGTCTGCTGCTCAAGGGAGCCAAAGAGGTGTAAATAATCCGGGCCTCCAGGCTGGGCCCACTCCTGGGAGAGACAGACCCAAGGTAGGGCCCCCAGAGGAGATAAAAATCTTAGCCTGAGTCTTAGACTGGTGCAAGAGAGAAGCTGGTCAGCCCTGGGAAGCTGAGACTATGCCTGTGTAGACGGGGAGCCCCGTGAACTTGACCTCTGCCCTCTGCTGGAAGACAACTGGGCAAGTTTTTTCCACCCTCTCGCATGGATAGAGCGTCATTCCCCCAGATCGTATTGCCTCTGAGTCCGTGTGAGCAGAAAAGGCAAATGCAGAGAGAGCCACGGTGACGGGAGAGAGAAGCAGGGGAGACAGGAGGGGCCCCGTGAGATCAATGGGGATCCAGAAAGCTAAGCAGAGCCCTCAGCCGGGGCTGCTGCTTCGTTCATTCACTCGGTCAGCGGGTTCACCGTGGCTCAGCAGCAGCAGTGGTCTTGTCATTGTTTCTGAACAGGGTGAGTAAGATAAAAGCTGAAGGAGGAGAAAAGGAACAGTGAGTCTGTCTCAGCCGCTGAGGACACTGACTTAGGCCAGAGAAGGGTGCTGGTGGGGTTGGAGCCCCTACCAGCTTCCGCTGTGTCATTCTCAGAGTGTCCTGCAAGGCGTCCGGGCGTCCTTCATCGGTGTCACCCTTCCCAGAGCTCTCTTTACCTCCTTGCCTTTTGAATGCAAAGAGTCTGAGTTAGAGGGTGAGGGCTGGGCGGAAGGAGGAAGGAAGAGGTGAGTGGGCACACGCCGGCATTAAGGGAAGCAGTGATGCAGTTCTAACTTGAAAATTACTTCTGGAGCATAGATGACACAAATCATATGCTAATTGCATGCAAATTACACCCAGATCCTCTTGAACCCACCTGTCTCTTGCACCTTCTTTCATGCCGTGGAGGCATAAACAGGTCCAGATGGGAACTTGGTGGAGTTGGAGGAGGCTTGGGCTAAATGAGAGGGTTAGATAGGACAGTCTTGGAAATAAACTCTGGCCTATTATTCCAATAAAACAGTCAGTGGGCCTAAAGAGAACCATTACTGGGCACATATTTCCCAGGAAGTAAGTACTGGGAAATCATCGAAATGAATGGGACTTGGTCACTATCCTTAAGTTGATTATAATCTGTTAATAACAAGGGAGAGAGACGTGTACCCAGATATCTCCGTAACAGCAGATTGAATTCTATGAATGCTCTGCCTTTTCTTCCTTATTCTTTGTTTTCAAGACAAAAATTTATCTTTTTAATAAAAATGGTAGATGCTCACCATACAAATTCAAGCAATGCATACAAGAAAGAAAATAGCAACAAGTCACCAAATCTCACTACCCAAAATGTAAACACCATGTTAACATTTAGTGGATGCCATTCCAGGCCCATATTCACAAATAGATTCACACTTATTCATGGACAGCTGGCAACCTATATGGGTGGATAAAAGGATGGTGAGAGGGACTGAACAGACCCACATTTGATGGGATATTGTCGAGAGACACTGTGTATAGCTGATGGCCAGACAGACAGCTCTAGGTAAGAGCTCTTTCTTGGGTTCTCTGAGCCCAGTGAGGTGGAAAAAGAGAAGTGACCACTGAGACCTTAGTGGAACTCAGAAGGTGCCATTGCACACCTTTTGGCTTTGTGTCTCTTTCTCAAATGGGATGCTTCAAAATGCAGCCAAGGAAGAGGGGCTGGGTCAGGGCTGGGGGCTGATGAGTGGGCTCCAGGGAACATAGTGACCTCCTGGACCCGAATCTGATGCCATCTCTGAGAGAATCAGACCCGGCCAAACCAAGGGTCCACATAGCTTATTTGCAAATATTCTCTCCTTTGTCCTCATCATCTGCTTCAGGTGCCCAGTTCTTGTGACAGCTGGCACCAAACACACAGGTTTAGCAGTAGCCAGACACGATGAGCAAATATAGGAAGAATTGGGTTGTTTTTTTTTTTAATGCCACGGGGCTGTCTCTGCTCAAGTGAGATATTAGCGGGGCAGACCCTGTACCCGGTGGGGCCGCAGTCAGGAGGCAGAGTCTGCAGGGGATTTGCGATGGAGCTCTGAGGCCTGTCACCTGGAGAGCCGTAAATCGTGTAGAAATAGGTAGCCAGGTGACTTCACCGGGAGCCGGGTCCAGGGACGAGGGCCAAGAACAGCTCAGGAGGCCCATCTGTCTGAGGCCGGCTGTGAGCTGAGCATCCCCAGACAGCTCGGTCCCGCAGAGGAAGCAGCTGACTGTGCGGCAGGAGAACAGTCAGTAAAACGAAGTCAGAGGTCCTGGGTGCTAGTCCAGCTTTTGCTAGAATGAGCAGCATGACCCTCTCCAGGTTGCAGTTCCTCCTTTACAGAGCAGAGGAGTTGCATCGGGTAACGGGCTTGTCTCTGGAGTCCGAGGCTCCGATTGGGCTCCCATCCCCCCAGTCCGTGTATTCGAGTGGCCTTGGACAAGTCACTTAACCTCAGTGTGTCTCACGCAAGGTCAACGTGAGGCTCAGCTGAGACAATAAATGGAGAATTTCTTATTATACTGCCTCACGAGCCACATAAACACTGGTTGCTGAGATTCCATAGGGCCTATTCCAGCTCTCGCACGTGCAGAGAGTGCAGACTGTGAGTATTTGATGAGCAGGACAATAAGGGGACGCCGGGCCCAGCCAGCAGGCCCCAGGAGCCCCGTGTTCTCAGCCTGGCCCCACCTCTGACTCCCTGGGGGAGCTGGGCCCTCTACTTCTCAGGGACTTGGTTTCTCCACCTTTAAAGATAGAAATGATAAATCTAACTTTGAGATCTTAAAGAGATTCGGGATTCCTCTCTCTCCAGAAGATAACACTCAAAGTATTATACAATGGGCTTCAGGTTAGACCAAAAGAAGAACTTTCTGAAGAGGCTGTGAGGCCGTGTGTGCTCAAATGAGGTTTTTTTTTTCCTGAAGGGCGAACACTCTAGAGAGAGTAAGAGTGCTGGTTTGGTTATGGGCAAGTGTGCAGAAGCTCCTTGACTTACAGTGGGGTCACATCCCCATAAACCCATCATAAGTTGAAAATATGTTAAGTTGAAAGTGCGTTCACCACACCTAAACTACCGAACATCATAGCTTGGCCTTGCCTACCCCCAAACATGCTCAGAACACTTACGGAATCCTACAGTTGGGCAAAATCCTCTAACACAAAGCCGATTTTATAATGAAGTGTTGAATGTCTCATGCAGTTTATTGACGACTGTACTGAAGGCGCAAAGCAGAGTGGTCATGTGGGTACTCCAAGTGTGATTGGTACTAAATGCGTATCGCTTTTACAGAATCTTAGAGTCAAAAGTCGTAAGTCGTGCCATCAGAAGTTGGGGACTGTCTGTATTCCTCTTTGAGGCAGTGATTTAAGACTTCGTAGTTCTCAAAAAATCCTAAGACCTTCTAAGCCATCATGGGAATGGGGCTTCCCATCGCTTCTCTTGGTGACAAATCTCTGGGCAGCCCACTGCCATCCCTGCCTTCCACCCTGTCCCCAGCCCTTGTCTCTCTGTTCCTCCTCCCTTCCCCCAAAACATGGTACCTGCAATATCCTCGGGGCCGTGACAGAGAGAACACACTGCTAGAGGAAAACCAAGTCCTGGTCTCACGTTCTTCTTTTGGAGGTTTTCATCTCCCCACAGAACTGGAACAATCCAATATATCCAATATAGCACTTGTGTGTTCTCTTTCCCTCCTCTCTTTCTCTCTCTCTCTCTATTAATTAATTAAATGTAATTAAGAAATAGGACTAGTAAGAAGAGTTGGGTCGTTAGTGTCACTGCCTAACAAGTCAATATTAATGTGCTGTTAATAGATCTAAGGACCGGCCGGTCCCAGGGGGAAATTTGGGAACTGATTCCCCAGTCCTGCTAATTGCCCGGGTGCTCCCCGGCGAGGACGCCTGGCTCTTCCCTGGAAAGTCAGCCCCAGCCTCACCAGCAGTGACTCAGCAGACGTGATGGGCGTGAATGCAAGTTACTCCCATAGCCCCGGCGTCTAATGGAAGGCAGACAGTGAGTCCAGGGGAAATCAGGCTACGAGCCAAGTGAAAAACTGAGCAACAAGATGAAAAGAAACTCGATAGCCCCAGTTTCCACCCAACTCGTCAGGCCGGCCACTCCCGTAAAGGGAATATAACTATACTCGGGGTGGATGGGAAAAGAGTATAGGGATGGAAGCAATTATTCCATTTTATACTTTAATTAGTTTGAATTAGCAGAGGGAATAGAGGCATAAAATGATCCAGCGAAGGGTGAAATGGAAAAAGGGAGTCAGGGTGGAGAATGGCTGTGTGGAGGCTGGAAGGGGCCTAGGAGCAGCTGAAGGGCTGGCGATGGGGGTGCGTGTTTGGAGTGGGGGGGAGCCGTGGATTCGGCTCTCTGTGCCAAGGATCAGGGAGGCAAAATGGCATAGTTGTTAAGAGCTGCTGCGGGAGTCAGACCGACCTCCCTTCCACAGCCACGGATTAGGTACATGGTTTTGAGAGAAAGTTACTTAACTTCTCTATGCCTCAGTTTCTTCATCTGTATAATGAGCCTACCAATATTAACGCTTACAAGGACTGGGAGAGTATACATAAATTACCTAATGCCATGACACATCGTCAGTGCTTTCGGTAAGTGGTGGCTATTATCATTAGCAGTAG